CACTCGTACGTCATGAAGTACATTCCACTGGCTGGGACGTCTGGTGGGTAAACAACAAAGGCTGTGAGGAGTGGGAAACCAAACGAAGCCCAGAGGCACAGCAGCCCCATGCCAGCCCAGCAACACTACTAAGTACATCCAGATTCCTTCTCTGAACCTCTTCTACAAACAAAATAAAATCTTCTGTTGCCCTAGACAGAGGAGTCTGAACTTTCCCAGGGAGAGCAGGTGATAAAAGCAAGAACTGGGAAAACATCTTTTCTCGAGCACCTCTGTCAGCAAAACACTGACAAACCAGACTGTAGCCTGCCTGTTGGCCCTTATGCTAATGATGGGACAGCTCTAAACTGTCTTAATTACTGCACAGCAGAGCAGTGCAGGAACGTCAACAGCTTTGCACATTGTTAGTACTAATGGTTCTATTTCTGGATTTTTTTGCAGCTGATGGGTCTTGTTTTGAGTTTTTTTAAGGTACTCACACAGCTCATTCCTAAACTGCAGAAACAGCCTCTGGCTAGGGACACTGATAAAGTTACACTGCAGGCTGCCACTCTTTATGAGAAGCAGAGAATAGAACTAACTCCTAAACTGAGATAACAAAATACAGAAATTTCAGCCTTTCGAGGGAGGAATTACTGAAATACATAAAGGATTCAGTGTCTGGCACAATCACTTTGTGGTTGTTTCAGCTGAGAGGGGAGTCATGACATCCCTGTCCAAAATAAGCCACACTCAAACAGGTAGAAAGCACAACTGCTGCCATCACATCTTTTAAACCAGTCAGCATTGTACAGCAACAGTCACAGACAGGCACAATCCTTCTCCCAAGGAGAAAAAAAACCCAAAAACAAAACAAAAGAGAAGGAAATAATAAAAAAAGCCCACTTCTGTATTTTTCTCTTCTCTTTGTTCTCTCTGCTCCTCTCCTGAAGTCTCTCATTCCTCTTGGCTTCTCAGATCTTAATTACTTCCTATATCCCTCTGATCCTTGTCATCTAATCTCTTCCTCACTCACTGAGAATCCCATGTTTATTTCCCAGGCCCTTTGAGGCATTGGAGTAGCTCTGCAGAATGCAAAAAAAGAGAAAAGGGTGACACAGCCGCTCCAATAGGCTAAAGGGACAGTGAGATCTACCATAGTGTGTCACACTTATCTTACAGTCCCCCCACAGAAAGGAGGAGAACCCCTGTTACCTCTCATGAGGGTGAGCACCGTGCCCTTGTAGACGCCGCGGATCCCAGCCTCACGGTACAGCTGCTTGGCACAGTCCAAAGAGCCTTTGTATTTAGTTTCACCTGTAGCTGCCTGAATCTGCAGGAGAAAGGGATAGTTTCTAACTTGGGAAGGTTTCTGGCTGATGCACAATCATTCAGCGAAGTGTCAGAAAGTCAAGCGCATGTTTCCAGAGAGGAAGGAGCACATACTCGTTCCACAAGCACTTCTGCCCATCAAACCTCTGCCTCACTTCCTCAAGCAGCTCTCTCACATTCAAGCTGAGGATGTGCTTACTGTTCCATGCAGAGGACAGATTCTCCCTTGTTTTTCCTCAGTGTAAGTTTGAAACAACTCAAGTCACTTAGTTAATTCTACATTGACAAAAAGTAGTCTTCACATAGTGACATTTGAACAGTTTCTAGGTGTGTAAAAGCCTCCATGATAATATCCTGTCTGTCAGAACTAACATGTGACCCCTCCATCACCACATTAACAGAGCTCAGCACAGTCTGAAATCACAAAGCTTCCCACATCTGCTAAAAATGGCATTTCATTTGCTCAGGTTTACATTTTCCAACAATATCCTCAAAAAATCCGGAGGAGGTATGGAGCTAACAGCCACCCAAATGTCAGAACACTGTTTTGCAATGCATTCCTTAACTATGTATTGGGAACTGTCAAGGTAACAGAAAATCTTTACACCAGAAAGAGTCTCATCATCTAGCAGATTTGCACATTTCTTAGAAAAAGTTTCATTCAGAAAAACTGGGACTTTTCCACACTTTGAAGTGGACTGAGGATCCACTGATGCATCACAATGCCACATAGGCTTGTGCTCTGTAAAATGAATAGAGCAACGAATGCTGCATGTACTTATACTGTCATGGTGAGTTTGTTTAATGCTTCTTTGTGACACAGATGCATTAAATATGACAGTTGTCTCAGTCCTGTCAAAAACCAGAATGGAGTAAATGCACTACCCAAAGAAATTCCTAGTACGGAAAGACAAGACCCCTAAAATTAAATTCCCATCACCACCATCCCATGCCTTACCTGTAAAAGACACTTGATTCTCTCTCCTGGAGCCATGATTACTGTTGTGAACACTCCTGACAACATGCCAGCAGCAAACAGCTGAGGATATCTGCCCAGAGGAAACAGAAAAGGCACTAACACAACACAGTATGCAGGAAACGAGGGGCAGAAGGAGCCTGTATCACCAGACTATGCTGTTCCACACGAGGCTGGCAGTACAACTTGAAACACATCCACTGCTTTTAATCAGGGCAGAAGTGCCTAATCAATGCATAATTAAACACTGAAGATCTCTAGGATTCAAAGTGCTGGTTCCCACAGCAACCACAACTCAGCTCTTCATATCCATTGTATTTGCTAGTATTTCTTCTACTTGCATTTCTTGCTACAGCATTCCCCATTCATTTTTATTCCCAACAGTCTCTTCCTCCTCCAGTCTCCCATACTCTTCTCAGTGCCCCAGATTCCACACATATTCCTGCTTGTGCAGCCAGGAGCCTCCTTTCTGTAACCTCTCACTCCTGCAGCCTCTGCCATCATCAAGTCTGTCCTACCAACCTGCCACCATCCTACACATTCTGCATCTGCTTCCACATGGCAAAGTCTCCATGACAGAAATCCCTTGAACAGGCTGAGTTTCACAAAATCATCTTTACACCTTTCCTAGTAGGTGACCTAACCTCAATTTAACCGAATTCCACACCTCCCACTTCTCTGCTTGCCCAAGAGATGGCATTCTATTCTAATTCTTGCACGGTTCTCGACTCTGAAATTCCCATTATATCTTCCAGACCATTCAGACCTCCCTCACCACTCCAAGTACACCTCCTGCTCAAACTAAGCTTTGAGTTTTCTGTCTCATCTTGAGATTATTCAGCCTCAGAAAACATAGGACAGGGTTCTCAGGTTTCTTTCTTTCTTCTTTCTTTCTTCTTCCTTCTACAACTTCCCTTAAAAATCAGCACGGGTAACCATGACCATCCTGCCTGCCTCTACACCCATAACCATAGCACTGAGTCTCATGTCCCAGGCACATTGTATCTTCACCCTGTCAAGTCTGCATCCCCAGTGCAGCACAGCTGGACACAACGACTATTCCACCCTCTGTTTGTTCTTTGTCTCCTGCTTGAGAGGAATTCTACACAAAGACTCAAAAAACGATGCTGCCCTTCTCCAGCTCACTCCTTAAAGCTTCCCTTTGCAATAATATGTATAAACACAAGGCACTGAGGTGGACTAGGCTGCTGGAAATAAGTCCATGGCTCATCTGTTCCCCTGGCCTCAGCCTTGCTGCATGAGGACACTACTGTGGTAAAACAGAGTGAGCAGTGCCCCAGCACCTCAGTATTTCCTCCCTCTGAGCAACCAGAGCAAAGGGAGCTCTGTGCTGGCAGTGGCTCCTGTTGTGGAGCCAGGTATGCTCACACCAACTGGGCAGGCCCTGTGCAGGCAAGGCTCCAACAGAAACCACCCCTGCCCACCCCACCACGCTTGGCTCCACACAAGGGACTCCTGCCTTCTGAAGGAGCTCCTACCTGTCACACAAATAATAGAATAAAATGTTGCTAAGCTACAGCCCAGTTCCTGCAGAGCTGTAAATCACACATTACGGGCACACTTTTTGGCTGGGGAGGCTTTCTTCATGCACAAGTTGGCTTGTAGAAAGCCACACAGAGTTTTCTCAGCTTCCCATCGCTGTTCCAGAAGGTTAGACATTCCTGGAAGGAGAGCTGCTCACAAATGCCTCTTTTCAGAGATAATACCACGTATTTCCATGGCTGTTCTTATATCCTAATGTAAGGACACAGAAAGAGTCACAGCTACCAGAGGAAAGAGAATCAGGTCTGAGAATGCTGTCAAGACTACTTGACCGCGTATTTATTTCTCCCATGGTTTCTGTTAGCTGTGAATGCCGTCAAGACTACTTGACCATGTATTTATTTCTCCCATGGTTTCTGTTAATAGCCCAACTGTTGGCAATCGTTATGTAACTCTCACTGTACTCATCCAAACCAGAATTGTTCCTTAATGGCTCCTTCTTGCGTAGAAAGGGAATTGCATCGCACCTGCCCACACACTGTCTGTTTTTAGCCTGTGCTATCAGTCCCACGCTTCCAGAAGCATTAAAACATGAGTGTTTTTGGGTTTTTTTGGACTATATTTATAACCTAGGAGAAGAGACACATTTACACCACAACTCAACATGCGACAATACAGTGACAGCCTCAGGATGCCTCTCCCAAGAGTCTGACTAACTCAGGAACTCACGTCAAAACGTCATCAGGTGTTCTCTGTTGGAGTCTTTTTCCTAAGCCAAATCCAAAGAAGCACACAGCAAACATGGGTGTCACTCCAATAATAGGAGCTGCCATTCCTCTGTATAAGCCTTGGAATCCCTGCAAGAAACATTATCACAAGAATGACTTGGGTTTGCATAAACTTGGCACACATTTCAACTTGTTGAGAAGCGAAGGGTGACAATCCAGAATAGGGTCAGTCAGAGAGTCATGTTGATCAGGAGAATAATGGGGTCTATTGTTCATTTGCAATTACACACATTTAGCTGAGGCTCAGGGCCTGCTGCAGAGGAAAGTTATCCCTCCTGGAAAACACTGGCACCACTGATGTCCTTCTATGGCACTAATGGTCACCCTGTATGTACATCTCAGACATGAGGGAGGCAAGTTAGAAGTCACTTGGATAAGTGACCTTGTAGATTATGTCAAGACAGAGCACAGTCTCTCAGATACATACAAAAATACACCTGTGTTTTATTGGTAAGTTGTCAAATGCAGCAGTGTAAAATCCTGACACTGAACCTGAGAATGTTGACTTGATTCACTCTTTAACTAAAGGAAGAGTCAGGGAGAGCAACCTGAACTCCTTCACTGCCCACAGAATTCAGTCTGGGACAAGCTCAAGAGCAAATTATATTTCTTTCATACCCTAAATCAAACCCTTTACACAACATTACATTCCTGATGTTTTACACATTCCTGATGTTTCCCTTCATAGACTACACACATGGGAAAAAACCTAACACAGACCTCAGCAGCTGCATTCATTTCATTTCTCCTGCCTTTGAACTGAACTTTTCTAATAAAAAGGAGAATTATCTTCCTAGATATAGGCTACATGCACGAGTTAAACATTTTCTGGTCAGCCCACCCCTTTCTTCCCACTGCCCCAAGAAACCAGTGCATCCCAGTACGTGTTGTACACTTACAGGCACAACTGGCTCTGCAATGAAACTGCACCTGGCTGACAGAGACCAGCCTCTGCTGCTCCACCTTCCCAATGGGAAGCAAAAAGACCTTGACAGAGAAGTTTAATATTTTTCCTTATAGAAAGGGATGAGTATTGAGTAGGAGTAGAGAAGCAGCACTGATTTTGAGCTCCCCATCACAAGGCTGTTATTACGGCTCAGCTCTGACGTCCGTGCTGCAGCAGGGGTGTTAAAAACTGCCAGGGATTCAGAGCTGGCACAGCAGTTCAGTCCTTTGTGGGAGAGTCTAGGGAAGCAAGATTTACTTTGGTTACATAACAACCTGTTAATACCACAATGAAAGTAGATTTCAGATAGGAGGCAGATCTTTCATTTCACAGAGGGTTACCTAACGAGATCCAGCAGTTAGAAATAGACTTCAGGCAAGCAAACAAACAGTTCAGCTTTACAGCCTTTGTTTCCAAATGGTAAATTGCTGCTGGGAAAACTTGCAGAGCAGAAAACTGGACTCTGTGTCACTTAAAGTCTTTAAACCAAGGCAAACAAATAGGCTAGTTCTATCACATGATATGGATGATGCAGGAGTGAAAACCACTGTCCACCTTCTGAAGAAGGTTGAACAAAACTACTGTAATTGACCCTCAAAAAGAGACGAAGAGAAAAAACATCTGTTAATTATGATCCTCTCCCTTCTCACAGATGGCATAACACATAGAAGAAAGCAAAAGTCCTGCTTGTAACAACAAAAGTCATACACTATTTTAGGATTTCCAGAGACTCCAAGTACCAAAGACAGCCAGATTCTGCAAGGCCAAAAAACAACTGCCAACATTCACTCCTGTCTATAACCTCAGATATTAATACCATGCTATTTATCAAATATTTATCTCAGCTAAACAAAGAGCCATCTACCTGGAGCAGGTGGATGCTAAGTATTTTCTAATCTGTGCAAAAAATATTAATTAGAATTAATTCAACTGATCACCCAGGGACTGTGGTCTCTGGGGGGCAACATTCCCCCACGATTCCATTCCTGCGACGCACGGAAACAACTGATATTTTTGGCAGGTGTCACAGTACCTCTTTAACAAGAGTCTTTCTGAAGCAGTCAAAGGTCCCAGAATAGAGCAGGGGCTGGCCAGGCTGTGGCTTAGGCTGGGTCTGCAGTCTGACCTAGTAAGAGCGAAAGGAGAACATTCCTTTATTAAATATTACTATCCAAACATCGACTCAGAAAACACCTCTATACGGCCGTTAGGGAGTATGTTTTGTGACTGGACGTGAAGATACAGGCAGACTAACATCACTTTATCCATTTGCAGAAGCGAAGAGATTGAATTCTAATGTATTTAACTAATTAATTGCTGGGATGACAACCCCCGGAATAACCCCTGGGAGTTAACACAGTGTCACTGTTCTGCTCCCATAGTGGGCACACACTACTGGACGCCCCTACAGGGTCACTCCCGGCCTCCCTCTGGCCCAGGAGCGCTGTGTCTCGCCGCAGCAGGAGCTCGGGGCGCATCCCAACTCCCATTCCGGGGACACCGACACTACTCCCGATGTCACTCCGGATCA